GTCATAGAGCTAGCGACAATATGGCTGGGGTGGAGGTGGGTCAGGCCTCCAAGACTCTGTTTCCCAAACAACAGCCTCGGTCACCCTTCCCCCACACATCTCCAAGCCCTGCCCCCAACCCCCTTTGCAGAGGGTGGCGGTGCAGCTACAGAAGGTTCTGGTAAGGAGGCCACCACAAGACTGCACCTGGGGCTTCCAACTCCCTACTCCACAGGTTGCTCTACCCCTTCTCCAACAGCCTGGTCCGTGACACTCCATCAGCAGGTCACCAAGTGGGTTTCGCTCTTCTCCCCATCTTTCTCCCACCTTGGGCTCCTTCCCCTCCTCCAGCCTGGAGACAGAATACACACAGCAAAAGTAGCTCTCTACCAGGAAGCAGGAGACTTCTGGAAATCCCCATGTTCCATGCTTACAGGCCTGTGATGGAGCAAACTGCTTCACTTCAGTTTCTTCTTCTGCAAAAGAGGAACAGTAATACCCACCAAAATGTCTGACATGTGCAAATGTATGTGAAAGCGCTTGGAAAGTGGAAAAATCACTCAGTCGATGTGAGGGATCATGGTGGCGCGAAGCCTCAGGACGCCCCAGATGTGCTTGTCGCCCTCCTACCCCTTCGTCACTGTGGGAGAAGACTTCTCTTAGCTGTCAGCCTGGCCTTCCTTTTTGTTTGTTTGTTTGTTTTTAAGCAATCTCTACACCCAATGTAGGACTCAAACTCATGACCCTGGGATCAAGAGTCACATGCTCTTCCAACTGAGCCAGTGAGGAACCCCATCTTGGCCTTTCTTAATGCAGAGGAGAGGCCAGGTGGGGGTAGGGGGGGCATCCAGAGCTGGGGCCCCAGCAGCTAAGTTGGAATCCCAGTTCCACCAGTATAGTTTACCAGCTCTGTGATTGTTAGCAATTTTCTTAAACTCTTCGAGCCTTAGTTTCCTCATCTGTGTGATCTGGAGAAAAGCAATTATGCCCTATCATTGTCATGAGGATTACATAAAATACACAACCATATAAAGCACATAGCAATCCTAACTGCTCAGCAGAAACTTCCTCTCTCCTCCTGTTATCTTTACCTTCTTTGGAAACCCCAGAGGGAGAGCCAGGTTCTTGGGGCCTGTTAACTCCTCAGAATCCAACTTCATGGGTGCTCAAGGTCACAGACACAAGGGCTGGACAGCATCACACAATCCATCTGGTCCATCGGTTGTACATTGGTGGCCCTAAGCTAGATCCAGCCCTTCGGAATGCTTTGTTTGACTCACTCAGGGCTAGAACAACAACAGAAAATTAGTTGCCAATATTAAAATTAGGGGATATCATATAAATGTTTGGTTTTCCACCTTCCCTTGAAAGTTTGGCAGAACAGGCAGGCAAGTTTGAGTTTGCATCCTGGTGCAACCTCTCCTATCAACTCAGCCCGAGCTGTGTGGTCAGTGGCTGCCCTCATTACAAGACGCCCATACCCTCCAGTTGACCCACCTCAGTCCCCAACCCTCCCTACATTTATAGCCAGCCTGCTTTCCCACTCATGTTACCTAGCAGGCTCCTGTAGTCATTTGGTTTTGTGATCCTTGGCTTTCCATTCACTCATTCATCCATTCATTCAAAAAGTATTCAACAGGAATTTAAATAAAATAAAATAGGGGCACCAGGGTGGCTCAGTGAGTTAAGTGTCTGCTTTCGGCTCAGGTCATGATCTCAGGGTCCTGGGATCGAGCCCCGTGTTGGGCTCCCTGCTCAGCGGGCCTGGGGGAGGAAGATGAGCAGTAAGTGTTTAAAGGGTACAGAGCTTCAGTTGGAGAAGATGAAGAAGTTCTGGAGATGGATGGTGGTGATGGCTGCCTAATAACATGAATGTACTTAATACCACAGAACTGTAGGCTTCAAAATGGTTAAAATAGTAAATGTTATGGTATGCATATTTACCACAACAAATTTAATACCAATAAACATCAATACAATCAATACAATTCTATTTCTTTTTAAGAGAGAGAGTGTACCCGCATGCCCGAGTGGGGTTTGGGAGTGAGGATGGAGGGAGAGAAACTTAAGCAGGCTCCACACTCAGCGTGGAGCCCAACGTGGGGCTCAACCCCAGGACCCTGAGATTATGACCTGAGCCAAAATCAAGAGTTAGACGTTTAAACCGATTCACCCACCCAGGCGCCTGTCAATATTTTTAATAAAGGTTTCAGTACGTAGTAAGGGCCTACCAGGCCCAAGGCACTCTGCTGGGTGCTAAGTAAGACAGTTGTGGTCACCACTCGAGCCTGCCAGAAAGACACTAAACAATAATTTCATAAATATAACACGTGTTTGCAAGGGAGAGGAAGCATGGGGTACTGGGAGATCTTATTAAGGGAAGCTTGTTTCAACTGAGTAGCTTGAGAGGAGGGGTCACATGCAGAGAGGATAGCGAACCAACAAGATCCAGACACACAAGTTCTGCTGCGAAGTGCGGGGGTAGGCCGGGGGTGCCCCTTCACCGATCTTACCTCTGAAGCACCTGCCTGCCTCCAGACTTCTTTTAGATAGGAAATCACCTTCAGTCTCAGTTAAGCCTCTATTATGTTGAATTTTCTTTCACTTGCAGCAGAACCCAATGTTCCCTGATACACACTTCCCAGGGAAGCCTTTCCTGATCTCCCAGTTGAAATAAGGTTCCCTATAATAAGATCCCCAGCAATCTGGGCTTCTCTTTTGTAGCATGTGTCCAATTGTGATGACATTATTAATTGTCTAGTGTCTATGAAACAGACTGGAGTGGTGACCACATCTAGCTTACTTATTACATCCCCAACACACACAGAGCACTTTGGGCCTGGAAGACACTTGAAGAGGGGTGCCTGGCTGGCTCAGTCGGTAAAGCCTGCAACTCTTGATCTTGGGGCTGTGGGTCTGAGCCCCACATTGGGTGTAGAGATTACTTAAAAATAAAATCTTAGGGGCGCCCGGGTGGCTCAGTCAGTTAAGCGTCTGCCTTCGGCTCAGGTCATGATCACAGGGTCCTGGGATCGAGCCCCACGTCAGGCTCTCTGCTCAGTGGGAGCCTGCTTTTCTCTCTCCCTGCTGCTCCCCCTGCTCAGGCTCTCTCTCTGTGTCAAACAAATAAATAAAATCTTTAAAAAATAATAATAAAATCTTTAAAAAAAACCAACAAAATTCAACCTTGTTGAATATATGAATGAACGGGCAGAACTGGATTAGTTCAGAGGTTAGAAACTTAAATGCCTATTAGGACCTGTGAGGTAATGTAAATGAGAAAAGCAGGCTGGCTGTAAACAAGTCTGCAGGCAGGGGATGAAGCCTGAGGAGGACACACACCCTCCCTGTAAGGACAGCCCTTAGAGGTTGCACCGAACACTTGCACGTACATCCATTAACTGAAATTGAGTCATTTAGCCACATCCAGATGCAAGGGAGGCTGGGATTCAGTATACATTAAATCTGGGCAGCCATGAGCTCAGCTAAAAAAGGGACGGTTCTGTTACTAAGGAAGAAAGAGACAACGTTTTGGGGACAATGAAAAGTCTGCGCAGAGAAATAGCGAAGATCTGAAGAAGGAACAAAAATTTCCTCAATTAGTGGTTCTCAAAGTGTGGCCCATGGCGGGGAGGGGGTCCCTGAGACTTTTTTCAGGGAGATTTTGAGGTCAAGCTACTTCCATAAAAATAATAAGACACTATTGGCTTTTGTCACCATGTTGACATTGTGATGATGTTGCAAAAGCAATCTGGGTTAGACTGCTGCCTTAGCACAAATCAAGGCAGTGGAGCCAAACGGGGCTGTAGTCATTGTGCTCTTCACCGCCAGGCACTTGCAGTAAAAAAAGAATAAAAATATTAATGCCACTTTCACTTAAGAATGCCTTTGATGAAGCAGTAAATATTAATGTTATTAAATCTCAAACGTTGAGTACACTGTGTATAAAATGAGAAGTAGCATGATGCCTTTCTGCTGCAAATGAATCACAATGTTGTCTTAAGTAGAAATGCCTGCGTTAATTGTTGGAGTTGCAAGCTCAACTAGCCACTCTTTTCATGGTAGGGAGAGGGCATGGTCACATGGGCACATTTAAATGAGCACTCAGGCTATTGGTGGAGGATGGCCTAGAGGACGAAAGAATGGGGAGGCCAGGAGACAGAAAGGAGGCAGGGGCTTTGGTCCAGGCACAGGATGGGGATGGCACTTGGGGTTGGAACGGATGGACCAGTGGTGGTGGGGCAGAGTGACTTGGATAGGCTTCTGAGAGAGTTCAAAGGTAACATCCACAGGAAACGGCAAATAAACACATGGGAGGGGTTGGGTGAAGGAGTCAGAGAGTATTCCCGGTTTATTTGGCCTGAGCAGCTGGGAGGTGGCAAAGCCCTCGCTGAGCAGGGGACTTGCAGGGGAAGTAGGTCTGGAGGGTACTGGTAAGCAGGTAATAAGTGTAATGTGGGACATATTGGGTTTGCTATGTGTGGTGAGAATCCAAGTGGAGATGTCCAATGGGCAGGAGGATCTACACATCTGGAGCTCGGGAGAGACCTGGGCTAGAGAAATACTTGAGCGCTGGCCAGAGTTGAAGGGCCAGAGGAAAAGGGTCTGCTCAATCGTCACTCTGGGGGTCACTCTGCAGGCCTCAGCCCAGGCCCCCTCTGCCACACTGGGCCACCTATAGTGCCTCTGGTCCCTCCCCACTGAACAAATGCCCTCAGGACCCTGGCAAGGGGCTTACCAAGTGACCTCATGTGCCCCCCACCTCCCTCCCACTTCTCCTTCCCTTGAAGCCCAAACCAGATTGTGTTATCATCAAGGCCATCTTTTTTCTCGTTACACAACAAGAAGTTCAGCGACACTCTGTGCTCCAGCCTAGTTCTGTTCAAATTTTTCCCTTGACTTTGGCATTTTCACTTTGACATCTTTCCCTGAGAGGTAGGGGGTGGGGACCCCAGTCCCAGATGGTGACGTTGGGGGTTGGCCCAGTCCTGGGGTGTGGAGGAGCCTCACCACCAGGCTTCCTGTCTCTTCGTTTACATACATCTCTGCAGAAGTAACAGGCACTCTCCCCAGTGGGCTCCTGGTTGCAGAGCTCCGAGACCTCACGTAGACACAACTGTGTGAGAAGCAGAGGGGAGGAAAGACACAAGCCCGGAGGTAAGATGCATAGACTCAGCTTCATTCTTTTCCACGGGTCTGGGAAGGGGAGGAGAATGTGGTGGCAGATGCGTTGGAATGTTCTGGACTTCCAGTTCTCTGCTCACAACTCTGGCCACCTTCTCTTGTGTTTCGCACTAAATGAACTGTGAGATTCAAGAGGCCGGGGCTATGGCAAATTTCTCTCCACATCCCCCTGTGCTCAGCTCAGTGCCCGGAGCAGAAGGTGCTCCTCAGACGGGCATTGAGCTAGATTGCAAGATCAGAGAAGGCACGGAAACTGGAGGCCACCCCGGGCTGAGAAAGGCAGTGGGAGACAACTAGTCAAGGGGCCGTGGAGGAGGAGGTAGGAAGAGGGGAAAGGGGAAAAAAGAAGAAAGGGTGGGAAACGGATAGAAAGAATAAATATATATTAAGGAGGAAGGATGCCTATAAAAAAATAAAAAAGGGGAAACAAAGGAAAAAGCAAGAAAATGAGAAGGACAAGTGAAATCTAGTCTAGAAGCAATGCTTCCCAAGTCAACTGCCCCAATGACTCAATTGCCAGAAGTTCACACCAGAAACCATATTTGTCTGCAGCATTTCCTAAGCCTTATGACAGAGGTAGATTTCTTTTACCTTTCTTTTCTGTTTATATTTATTTCTACATTTGGGTCTACTTTTGGGCATTTTGGGGATTTTTGAACAATATGTGTAAGGGCCCTTCCATTTTAATGAGCTTTAAAATTATTAACGAAATTCTCTGAAAGGGTTGAAATTGAGCCCTTAGGTACGCAATGCTATCAACGTGATAGATACATCTTCTTAGGTAAATACGTCATTAGAAAAACAGGTTCAAAGAAAGTTTTAGATGTCTCAGCTGCTCTAGAAAAGGAGGCTAGGTGGTTTCGAAAAGGATTTGCAGGTCCCTCCTGGGCTTGGTGTGGTGTTGGGGGGATGCAGGAGGTGTTACCCCTCAAGACGGAATGCCCTGTACAATCCCGCCTCTTGCCTCCACGCTTTTTGTCTTTTCCCCTCTCCTATGACCTCCATGGCCTTGCAGCATTGTCCCCAAGGTGTCCTAAAGCCTTCCCTTCCAGACATATTCTGGGACAAGGACCTTCTCGGTACCGTCAGATTCCTCAAAATAGAAAGGCCCCACTACCGCTAATTCAAACATTTTGCTCTGGGTGGGATAGCTCTTCCTGAAATTTCCGTTTTCATGGGGCAAATTTTTAGGGGTGCAAGGCTGACAGTAGAACCTGATGGGGGAGATCACTCCGTTTCATATTTCGACAAATAATTTCTTGTGCTGTGTTAGATTCTGTGGGCTCATACAAAATGGCCGCCCTCTTAGCCTCAGAGGAAGGAGTTCCCAGAGGACAGGTTCAAAGAGAACTCCCGACATGATTTCCCTTTTTCATTTGGGGGGCACTTGTATAGAAGAGGTCTTCCTCAAAATAAAAACTCCCCCTCACCAACTGGTTCTAGGCAGAAGCCCTGTAGCATCTTAGGCCCTGATCTGGGCCATAATGGTGAGGTGGCCACAAGGGAGCTCAGTAGACCGAGGGCCTTGCACATTTTAGACACTCAATAAATGTTGAATGAAATAACTGATGAGGGTGGGTGATGGGAAGGGACAGATAGGGGCCTGGGTTTGTAGGGCTCTGAGGTTGAGCTCTGTTCTACACCTTTTGGGAGATGTAGGGGAAGAGAGGAAGGAGGGCACGGCACCCCCCACGTGGGCGTCTGAGGCAACGAGAGGATGGTGGAGGTTGCAGCCACCGAACCACAAGGGTCCCTTAGAGGGTCATGGTCTCTAGGAAGTTTACATGAAGCCAGTGAGCAGTAGAGAGGGTGTGTGCGGTGGGGAGCACATCCCGCGGTGGGGGGGCACATCCCACGGTGGGGCTTGAGGGGCTGCCTGGGGGCTCTGGGGAGAAGATGAAAGTGTCTGTGGGACCACAGACTGTTGCTGTGGTGGGGCTGTGCCCTCTTCCTCTCCCCAGTCTCGCTCCTCATCCCATCTGGGGGGCCAGAGCAAGGGCAACAGGAACCTCAAGAGCTCGGAGAGTTCGTGAGTTTGTGTTGCCATTTTGGTCTCACGGTTCTCTTGGTCTCTTTTGATCTCTCTTTTGGTCTACTGCTCTGGGCATGGGTGTTGCCTTTCAGAATGTCTTCATCTCTTTCCCTCTGACTCTGCCCGGTTTGCACTACCCTGGGCTTGGCATGGGATCAGGGATTGTGTGAAGTGTAGCTAGCTGTGGCTTTAATGAGCTGCTCCGGGTCTCTCCCTCCCATCCTCCCTCATCCTCCCTTGGGGCCTCTGTGTGTTTCCTGGAATTTCTCCTTTTCCCTTGGTCCACCCTGCAGACATCTCCCTTGCACCCACCTCCGGCTCCAGGCTGTGCTCTGCAGGCTTCCTTCACATCAAAGCTGGTTGAAAGCCTGCATTCCTGCCAGAGGCCTGGATGCCTGTTCACTGGCAAGAAGGGGCTAGAGCTTAGCGGCAGCTGGAGGTGGGGATGAAAAAGGAGGAGAGGCAAGGGGCACTCTGGGCAAGACCAACAGAGCCAGAATTGGTTCCTGGCGTCTGAGGCCAAGAGGAAGAGAGGTTCAGGTGTGGGGAGTTGAGTATGGGAGCCATCAGTGTGGGGAGGCACAGACACAGAAATACACATATGTGAGCGAGAAACAAGGAGAGAGAAAGGGAGAAAGAGAGGGAGATAGAGAGACATGGGGGCCAGGGCCTGGGGGACCAGCAAGCCCTCCCAGCCTCTCTCAAGGGGCTATGGTGTACAGGATGCTACTGTACTGGGGCAGAGCGCCTCTGGGGAGGATGAGGATGTGGGAATCAAAAGCCTGCTCTCTGGGGTGGCAGCGGAAGCCCAAGTCACCAAAGCAAGCAGCAGCTGGAAACCCATAGCCTTCTCCACCGAGCTGAGCCCTGGGTGAGTTGGGGCAGTACAAGGAGCTGGAGGTGGGGAAGTAGCCCTCTGCACAGACCTCAGGATCATGGCGTGAGGAAGAAGGAATGACCACCATTCGGGAAAGGGTCAAGAATGTCCCTAGCCTTCCCTAGGCATCTACACTGAATTTAGACCCCAGGGAAGGGATATTCCAAATGGAGACTCCTTTACTTTCCGCTCACCAAGGACATATTGAGTCTGGGGGGGGGGGGGGGGGGGACAGTGGGAACCACTCTCAGATGTAAGAGCGGCCATACCGCACTCTCTCCCCTCAGCCTTCCTCTCAGCTTCTCCATGCCCCATGCTAACTTGTAAACAACTACACCCATGACCAGCCTCTGTCCTCCATTTCGGGAAACCTTCTTGATCTCTTCACTTCCTATTTCCCCAGTTAAAAAAAAAATTCTATCAGGGACATCTGGCTGGCTCAGTTGGAAGATCATGCAACTCTTGATCTCAGGGTCATGAGTTTGAGCTCCACGTTGGGTGTAAAGATTACTTAAAAAATAAATAAACTTAAAAAAAAATTCTGTCAAGCCCCTATCTTGTATTAGGCCCTGGGACATTCCTCTTTCAGGCAGATGGAGTGACTGGAGATGGCATCTATCTATCTATCTACCTATCTATCTATCATATGTAATATGTATGATATATATATCTTCCCCCAAACCTCATTAGGAAGCCCATGTCCCCAGCACATCTGAGGACTACATCCCTATCATGGGTCGGTGCCCAACAGGGAACAGAATCTGCCTCCGATGGTTCAAGAGACTGCAGAAAGGGGGTTATTCCCAGAGGTGTGAAGAGGGAACCAGCCAGCACATGGAGGGAGTATAGCTGTTGCCAGAAAGTATGCCCGAGGAGGAAGAGAGTTAGGAAAAATACCCCAGCCTCTTTCCCTCACCCTCTCTCATCTTGTGGGTGCTTCCCACTGGCCAACCCCAACTAGTAGTGGGGTGGTGGTGGCAAGGGAGCTGGGTGGTACAGTCTGCAGAAGTCAGCCTCCTTGTAGAGAGCAGGGCAGGGAGGTTGGAGAATAGCTCAGGGGTGGGAGGGGGTTGGGGAGAGGGGTTGGGGGGGCGCAAGAGTAGGCAACCTGGATTGGGGTGACTTGGGTTCATCTAGGCCAGGGTTAGGTGTGGACACATTCTTAAATGACCCACTTTAGTAACAGAATTAATACGTTGAGTACAGAAAGAAGTCAGTGATTTTCCCTCCTCCATTCAATTCAATTTGGTTTAAGTTAACCAAACACATCCCAAATCTCTTTTCGATGCTCCAGCTGGTGCCAGGTCTACAGTGGTGGCAGAGCTGGCTGGAGCATCATCTTCATCCTGGAGGAGATCAAGCTGCGGGGGGGGGGGGGGGGATGGGAGCCCAAATCAAAGACTGGGCTGGGGGACAGAGAAACAAGTCTGGACACAGGATCTCTTCTTGCCAAGCTCTGGACCAAGTTCATGCTGACACTGCCCCCCAAGGCAGCCACCCCTCTGAGGCCTACTTCCAGTCTGAGCCTGGAGCTCAAAGGTACAAGCCCTGTTCCCATCTGCCTTCCAGACATTATCTGGTGGCCTTCCTCCAGTCCCCACTCCCTCCATGTCATCTGGTCTCCTTCCTAAAGCTCTATACAGACCATGTCCCGTCTCTGCTCAAAACTCAGCAGTTCCTCCTAGTTGCCTGCAGAACAAAGCCCTGACCCTCTAGCCTCCCTGTCAAGATTCTCAACCAGGCCTCAGATGCCTTCCCACATCCCACCCCCTCCCTCCCTGAGTCTCTCCAGACTCCCAGTTGGGATCTCGGCCCTGCCCCCTGACAGGCTGCCTGACTCACTGCTGTGGCATGGTGGGGTGCCCCCACCCTGTCCTCCCCCCCCAGTTTCTGATTCAGCAGGTCTGGGGTGAGGCCTGAGAATCTGCATTTCTAACAAGTTAACAGCTGCTGCCGATCCAGGACCACACTTTGAGAATCGATGCTCTGGGCTCCTGGGTGGCTCAGTCGGTTGGGCATCTGTCTTTGGCTTGGGTCGGGAACTCGGGGTCCTGGGGCCCATGATGGAGCCCCGCCTCAGGCTCCCTGCTTATCAGGGAGCCTACTTCTCCCTCTCCCACTGTCTCTCCTCCCTGCTTGTGCTCTTGCTCTCTCTCAAATGAATAAATACAATCTTAAAAAAAAAAGAGAGAGAGAGAGAATCGCTGCTCTAACCTCAGGCTGCCCATTGTGCTAGGTTCATTCAGAGCCTTTCTACACACCCTCCCCTCCCCCCGCCACCCCAGCCGCCACCATCTCCGGAGCTCACAGAAACCAAACAACATTTTTCTGCTTTCCCTCAGAGGCCTTACAGGGTTGGTCTGAGAGTGAGCAGGGAGTTACTCTCTGCTCCTTCTCTCCCTCACCCCACACAGTGTATCTGGCCCCAAGTCCTGGCAATTTGCCCTCAGACGTACCCCTCAGGGCAGTCTCTTTTTCCACATTTCCATAGTTCTGACTTGTCTGAGTTTGGGCCTGTCTTCTCTCACCAGGATTGTGGCAATCTTGCTTCCTGGGCTTGGCCTCCTCCAGCTTGTCTTTCACAGAGCCGCTGAAGGGAGCCACTCTGCAAACCAAATCATGTCCTTTTTTTTTTTTTTAAAGATTTTATTTATTTGACAGAGAGAGACACAGTGGGAGAGGGAAAAGCAGGGGGAGTGGGAGAGGGAGAGGCAGGCTTTCCCCCCAAGCAGGGAGCCTGATGTGGGGCTCGATTGCAGGACCCTAGGATCATGACCTAGCCAAAGGCAGACGCTTAACGACTGAGCCACCCAGGTGCCCCTAAATCATGTCCTTCTTGACATAAAGTCCTTTACTGGCTCCCTGGTGCCTAGGGCCATGGCCTGGCATCACAGCAGGGCACTCAAGGACCTTCACGGCCTGGCCTGGCCTGGCCGCCCGTCTCAGTCCCCAGCAATCTGCCACCTTCTCTGTGAATCCTTTTCTGATTCCACTTCAAGAACCCACTCTGGCCTGGGCACAGCCTTGTGTAGCATGTCTGGATGGATGTCTGCTTAGCAGTCAGCATGTCTAGGTCCCTGGCTCGGCTGTATGGGTGAGATTGCCTATCATCTCCCTGTATCCCTTTGAGCCCCAGACCCAATAAATGCCTGCTGACTAATGATTGGTATCTCCTTCAGGCCCTGCCTTTTGTGCGGGGAAGGCCCAGGTCCCTGCCTGCCTCAACAAGGCCACGATGAGTCGAGGGGCTGCTTTTAGGCACCTGCTCCTGGTGCTGCAGTTGGGTGAGTGCTCAGACCTTGGGGTTCTGGTGGGAGGAGGGGCTGACTGGGAGATGCAAAAATGGGGGGATGGCCTTGAGGCCTGACCTCCCTTTTTTCCACCTAGCGATGCTCCCCGCGGTCCCTCTGGAAAGAGAGGTGGTGTTGGCGAAGGTGGGAGACACAGCGGAACTGCCCTGCCATGCTACCCCGGGGAAGAACATAGGCTTCAACTGGAAACATTCTTCCATGCTCAAGATTCTGGGGCGTCAGGGCTCCTTCTGGCTTACAGGTAGGGTGGCCCAGCTCCCCATCCAGGGAGGAAGACACCATGGACTGAACATCTCTGGTGTCAGAGCCCAGCTTCCGGTAAACTCTGAGATCCCAGAGGGGTCTGGTTGACAGGCTCAGGTGTGCTCTCCCAGTCCAGGGTTTCCCTGTGCCAACTGTGGGTGGCCCAGGGAGTGGCTCTCGGTGTCTATTATAATTTCAGAATTTTAATGTTCATGGCCTTATTTTAATGGATCTTAGAGAAATAACTATCATATAAAACCTGTAATTTCATGGGTATTATTGCTACAGACCCAGGATGATACGTTTTTACTTCCATTAAAAAGCAACACAATGATGTTTTTTCTCGCTTTTAAAGTAAAAAGAATTAAGATCTCCATACTTCTTAGAAACGTATTTTGCAGTAAAGGAGTTTTACTGTCACACTGAGGTTTGCCCTTATACTCTTCTTTAAATAATAATTCTTTCTTGTATGTATGGCCTCTAATATTCAACTTGTTGAATAGAAGCACCATATGAGAAAACCTCATCAGCATGAAATATGTTTTTGTAAATATGTTTTTATTTTATAAGTTTATTAGATTTACCATTGTTTGTATTTCATTGCTTATTTTTATTTTTATTGTTTTTTTTAAGATTTTATTTTAAAGTAATCTCTACACTCACAACCCCAAGATCGAGAGTCATACCCTCCACCACTGAGCCCACCAGGTGCCCCTCACTGCTTATTTTTAATATCTTTTTAATTATGAAAAATTTAAACATATATAAAAGTAGAATAATTAGATAATGAACCCCCATGTATCCCACTCAGCTTCAGCAATTATTGTTTCATGGTCAATTAATGGTTTCCTTTCATCTACATCCCTAAACCTCCACCACCATATTATTTTATAGCAAATACCAAACATTGTATTATTTAGTCTGTAAATACTTTGATATGTATCTCTAAGATATAATGACTCTTTTTTTTGTTCCCCTCCTAAAATGTAATGACTCATTTATTTTTAAGATTTTATTTATTTATTTGACAGAGAAGAGAGAGCATGAGGAGAGGGGAGGGGTAGAGGGAGAGGGAGAGGCAGGCTCCCCAGTGAACAGGGAGCCCAATGTAGGGCTCGAGCCCAAGGACCCCAGGATCATGATCTGAACCAAAGGCAGATGCCCAACCCACTGAGCTACCCAGGTGCCCCAAATGTAATGACTCTTTAAAAAAAATATCCACAGTATCATTATCACCCATTAAAAGTGAAGAATAATCCCTTAATGTTGGTAAATATCCAGGCAGTGTTCAAATTTTCCTAATTGCCTCTAATATTATTTTTACATTTGGTTTATTTGAATCAGGATCCAGATAAAAATTTAGGCATGGTATTTGGTTGATATGTCCCTTAAATCCCTTTGAATTTACATATTTGTTCCCCCAGATTTTTTTTCTCTTACCACTGATTGGTTGAAGAAACAAGGCAATTGTCCTGTGAAGTTTTACATGTTTGAAAGGAGCTGGCTGCATTCCCGTGGTGTCATTTAACATGTTCCTCTGTCCCTTGAATCTCCTATCGATGGTGGTTAAATCTAGAGACTTGATTAAGTTCACATTTAATTTTTTTAAAGATTTTATTTATTTATTTGAGAGAGAGAATGAGAGAGAGAGAGAGCACATGAGAGGGGGGAGGGTCAGAGGGAGAAGCAGACTCCCTGCTGAGCAGGGAGCCTAATATGGGACTCGATCCTGTGACTCCAGGATCATGACCTGAGCCGAAGGCAGTCGCTTAACCAACTGAGCCACCCAGGTGCCCCACATTTAATTTTTTTTTAAAGATTTTATTTATTCATTTGTCAGAGAGAGAGAGAGAGTGAGCAAGCACAAGCAGGGGGAATGGCAGGCAGAGGGAGAAGCAGTCTCCCTGCAGATCAAGGAGCCCAATGCAGGACTGGATCCCAGGACCCTGGGATCATGACCTGAGCAGATGCTTAACTGACTGAGCCACCCAGGCGCCCCTTTATTTTTTATTTTTAGAGAGAGAGAGAGCATGAGCTGGGGATGGGAGGGGCAGAGGGAAAGGGAGAGGGAGAATCTTAAGGAGGGTCCACACTCAGTGCAGAAGCCCGATGCGACGCTCGATCTCATGACCCTGAGATCATGACCTGAGCCAAAATCAAGAGTCGAATACTTAAACTACTGAGCCACCCAGGCGCCCCTAAACTTTCCTTTTTTTTAAAATAAATTTATTTAATCTAAAAAAAGTGAAAGCATTTAAAGATGTTACATTAATAAGATAGGTAGATCTGGCCAAAATCATGTATAAGATGTGTGAATGGTTGATGTCTGGGGAAATATGGCTTTAGTCCAAGACTCTGACTTTACTAGCGAGGAAACTGAGGCCTAGGGAGAAGTCCCTGCCCTGAGTTTGTGCCCGGTTAGAAGCAGAACTGGGGCTAGAACTTTGGTCTTTCATTCAGCGCTAGGCTCTCCTGTGGAAAGGTATCCTCAGTGCAATCAAAACTGAATTGGCCACAGTGCGTAGAAAACCATCTTTGCTGAAAATGGATGTCTCCTCTTCCTGCCTCTGTCCAGTGGGAGAGAAGTCCTCCATTTCTGGCAAGGAGGTTCTTGCTGGGGCCCCAGAGTGACAATTCAGACACCCACCCATGTCCACTCTTCATGTTTGGACATGAAGAAAAAGGGGGATATTGGGCTGGATCTTTATTGACCCAAAGCCATTCCCTAAAATTAACAAAACCCCCAATTCCTGATCTCTTTCTGATAAAGGCACACAAAGCAGAAATCAGCAGGTTAACTGCCCTTTGCGTGCCCATGTCCTTTCCTTCAGACAGCTGTTTAAAGAGGACCCTATGGGAGCGCCTGGGCGGCTCAGTCAGTTAAGCGTCTGCCTTTGACTCAGGTCATGATCTGGAGAACCTGGGATTGAGCCCTGCGTTGGGCTCCCTGCTCAGTGGAGAGCCTGCTTCTCCTTCTCCCTCTGCTCTTCCCCCACGCTCGTGCTCTCTCATTCTATCTTAAACAAATAAAATCTTTTAAATAAAACAAACAAACAAATAGGACCCTATGATCAAACTAACCTGTGTCCTTTCTTGGCCTATGGGCTCCTAGTGCCCATTATGTAATTTGCACCCCGGCAGAGCTCAGAACACTCCCACAAACTCTGCAAGTGATTTTTCTTGTCCTAGAATTTTATTCTGCTGAATTGCTTGAAATAATCAGACTTTCAGCTGAGACTTTATTTATTTTTATTAATTTTAAAGTTAAAATGATTTGAAAAAGCAACACAGGTACATGGTAAACATTTAAAACCATACAAATGATACCCAGTGTGTTGAAAACAAAATTCAGCTAAGTAAATTTGGAGATCTAATTGGCTTTATTCAGTGATTCATAAATTGGGTAACATCCCGACTAGCAAATAGAAAAGAGCTCTGAAGAGCTGTAGAAAGGAAAGGTTTTTAAAGGCAGAAAAGGGGTGAGGAAAAGGAAGTTTATTAGCAAAGAGTGTATTGTTTCAGACAAGGTCACCTGCTTGAGGGGACAGAAGGGGTCTGTCAGGCACATTTCCTCACTACTGCTGACCAGGTAATTCCAGATTGACTCATTAAAGGTTCTGTTCCTGGGAAAAGCTGAAACTGCAATTAGGTTAGGTATTAAGTCTTGGTTTGCTGATGTGGGGGTTAGCATAACTGACTCCATTTTGGTCCCGTTGGCTCTTGTTTCACAGTTCCCCTCTTTTGATCATAGCTCTCAGCTAAACTGAGCGTGGCCTTAGCGCCCCTCCCAGCTACTGCTCTGAAGTTCTTGAAGTTTCTGTTGATTCTTTGTCTGGTACTCACAGGTCGTGACTTTTCCCCCCTAATCTTTGTGACATTCACAGGTTATAACTTCAGGCTTATAGTTTTTAAGTTGGTGGTTCTTTTTGTTCCTTTTCTGATGTTCCAGTCTTAGGGAGATCATTTGCTTGGTGGTTAACAGCAGCAAACAGTGCGTTTAAAGCCTTTGAGAGGGAGGCACCTGGGTGGCTCCGTCCCTTAAGTTTCTGCCTTCGGCTCAAGTCATAATTCTGGGGTCCTGGGATCGAGCCCCAAGTTGGATTGGGCTCCCGATTCAGCAGGGAGTCTGCTTCTCCCTCTCCCTCTGCCCCTCCCCCTGCTCATGGCTTCTCTCTCTCCAATAAATAAATAAAACCTTAAAAAAAGAAAATAAAGCCTTTGAGAAGATACAGTGCACCAGGGAGACTAGTATGATTATTATTAGCAGGAAAATTCCCAATGTTTGGAGTGCACTTTGGAGTCATGATCCCTAAGACCCAAACCAATAAAAATCAAGCAAGTCAAAGAAAGACCCCATTAAAAGAGTCACTTTTGTTTTTTTAAGATTTTATTTATTTATTTGACATAGAGAGACACAGCGAGAGAGGGGACACAAGCAGGGGGAGTGGGAGAGGGAGAAGCAGGCTTCTCGCCGAGCAGGGAGCCCGATCTGGGGCTCGATCCCAGGACACTGGGATCATGACCTGAGCCGAAGGCAGACGCTTAACGACTGAACCACCCAGGCGCCCTAAAAGAGTCACCTTTTTAAGCCAAGTAACTTGGTGAGTGATCTTATGTAACTGAATTTCAACTTCCCTAGAAGTGTTAATCCAGGTTTAGCAGGTGATGTTGGCCACGGCAGACACTTCCTTGCTCAGCTAAGAGAGAATTAAAGTCTGTCTTATTATCAAGAATAACTTTGGCCAGAGAGCCTAAGGATTTTTGTTGGGCAGCTATTATTTTAGCAGTGGATTCTGCAATACTTTCAAGAGTTAAGACGTTGCTGATTGTAGCCTCCGTTTGCATTTAATACCAACTAGGGGAACACTGGTCTACCAAGCTAATTTTGAATCAGGAATGCCTCCTGGTAATTCCTGTTTGAGTCTGTGATTCGGGACTGGAAAGGCAACAGTCATGGAGACCAGTAAAATTTAGGGGTCTGTAGACCACACAGGTGGT